AAGGGAAATACAAGGTGGGAAGAAAAAAAGACGTTAAACCTTGCTGTCACGTGGAGGTGAATCAGCCCGGAGGGGAAAAGCAACAGCAGAGCTCATCACGCCGACTGAAGGACGTGAGGACGGTCGGAGCAGCAACTCGGCTAGGGCAGGAGCTGCACGCTGGAGATGTCCCAGAGCAAGGTGGAGTGTGTGCATGGGGCAGCTTCGCTCCTTGTGTGCCTGTGAGCAAGGTGGGGTGGCAAGGGGGTCGAGGTTTCCCCGTCACTGGTGTCTCCTAGCATGGCGCACAGCCCGTGGGTCCAGGAGCCAGGCAGGAACAGAGCATTAACCCACATTAACTGTGCAGGCTATGGAACGTCCAGACAGCAAGGATGTCTGTATTTTTCAGACAATGTATATAACACATAGTGGCAGACATTCGTTTGACTGAGCAAGCAGATGTAATAAAGCTTCAATTGGTATTATTTCTGAATCAAGAAGGCATATAGCAATTGGATCTTTATTTGCACTAAAGGCTATATGCCAAAGTACATTTGTATGTTTAAAAATTAATGTGATCAGGAAGATGGTGGGAGATTAAAAAAGGATGAATTGAGAGACAGAAATTCTATGTCCGTATATGCAAAGGTGCTGGGGTGAGAAACGTTGCTTCATTCAGGCTTCGGGTGAAGTTTGAGGTGTGACAAATCTGTCTCCTCTCTTGTGATCAGAGGAACATGTTGTTGCCATTGCTCTGGATCCCGTCTCTAACAATGACCAGACCAGATGTTCTAGTTTTAAAAAAGGCTACGGACAATTAAATTGCTGTGCAAGGCACTGGCAGCGCCAGCTTTCAATAATTCCCTGTCTTTGTGTGGATGTGATATGATGGGAGTGGAAAGCAAAAGCAGAAACTTAATATGACCCTTGCCACAGGCACCTTGGATAAAGCACTCTTGGCTGCTAGACAAACACGGGCCTCGATCCTGCAGAAGCCGATTAGTTTTTTTACACACAAATAGTCCCACTGTGGCATAAAGCGTGAAGAAGTTTATTGGAAGATGCCCCGAGAAGGGAAGTGGGAGTGAAGGAAGCTGGAGGAATGACTAATAAGAAGTAGAGGGGAGTTAAGCACAGGGTAGCAGAAGTTCAGCCACTTGGCTGATCCATAAGGTGGGTGGGTTACAGCTGGAGCATCACATCAGATAAAATAACAGGAAGAGCCGAGTGATGGCAACCACAGGGAGGAAGACCACCAGGAAGACCGAAAAGTGGAATGATCCTTTAATACCACCGAGCAGGGTGAGAAAGGAGAGAAGAGGATACATAATGTGATGAATGCAATTACTCACATCTCTGACTCAGGACTGAATGGGTGTTACTACTTAATGCTTTTTTTTGTGATTGTATTTTGGTTATTTTACAAGTAATTGAGTCCAAAGGGAACATGCCATAAAGCCCTTGGGAAAGCAAAGGTTACTAAGCCAAAAGAGATTAGGTGGAGAGTTTGCAAATGAGTGAACACAAAGAATGTGTAAACTTAAACATCCGAGGAATTAATATCTGAACAATCGTCTTAGGTGAGAGAGGCATGGTTGCAAATATGAATGAACAGACATGCACCACGATCTTTAAATCTCATTGTAACAGGCCAGAGGACCATGTAACAGCAAATGAAGAGCGGAAGCCAGAAGAATCCTGTCCAACCTGCCTATGACAGCTTTGGAGGGGTGGGTGTTTAACTCAGAGTTTCCTGAGCTCCTCAAGTTTTGCCCCAGGTCATACCTAGCCACCTCTCTGTCTCTGCTGCTCTGAGTACCTGCCCTTTTCAGCCTAATGGCCACATAATATAAACTCCATGAAGCTGGACGTGAACTGCAATCTTACCTAAGAAGAGGAGAAGGCTCATCATCTTGGTGGACCCCCAAAAGGCAGGTTAGAAGCCAGGCAACAAAACCCCATTTCATCCTTGCCCGTGCTATAGTATCTCCTGTCTGGCAGGTAGGATCACTGCTCCCCAGTGCACGGCCTAGCCCTCAGCTTGGCACAGCGAGTCCCACACTGGGAACAGGTGCCTCACCTTTAGGGGAGCCTCATAATATGTGTCCCTCTGCTGAGCACCCACCCCTGGGGCTCCGAACAGCAAATGTACTTCTTCTCAGGCACACGCCCACAGTCCTGGGACAAAAAAAAAGACTACTTGCATGCAAAGCTTTTACAAATTTGGTCACTGTGACCAAACTTTATTACCCATTTTATGGAACTGTGACAAAAGTCTAGGAATCAAACAACATGGGGATCACAGAGGCTATTATGTTTATTGTGCTGAACAGACTGTGATAATCCATTAAAGGAACATTTTCAACAAGCAAGCGATTCAAAGTACAATCATAGACAGCAACTCTACACGAAGAACAAAGCAAAAAGTTAGAAGACACTCAAAAGAAAAAGTAAACTGTAGTTAAACATCTTGAAGCGTTTTTTTTTTTTCCTGCAAACACACCTCTCTTGCAGAAATGGTAGAAGAGTTAAATGTCCAGTCTTAGTTAGCAGTGACCAATGACAGCAAAGAACAGTCGTATAAAATTTATCTCCCATAAAAATAAACTATATATATAAAAAATTTTATGATGTTCTCACTGATTCAATGGCCACATGCAATTTTTCAGTCTGAAAAAATGAGGTATAGTAGGCCCTAAGAGGTAGTAATGTGTTTTGATTGTACTACAATATATAGAAAATACAAGATTCAGTTCATCAGAGTGGTCTCTCGGAGGTTGAAATGTGACACACACCCAGCAATTATTTCTGTGTCATCCACTGAATACTGTGGTTTTAAAAAATGCAAAAAAAAACCCCAAACCCCAAAAGGGACTGGCTAAGGCTTGATTCGATGCCCTTTGAAGTCAGCAGAATTCCTTCTACTGCCTTCAAGTGACACTGGATTTGGCCTGTTAGAGCTACTGTATAGCTAGGATTATTTCTCTTTCACTTAATATTAACGTGTCTAGTTGTAATACTCCGATCAGCTCTTTCTCAGCGATTTCCGTCACTGAACCCTCTGCAGGCTTTCGAGGAGGTCCGCATTTCTTGACACTGCCTCTTGGAAGAAGCCAGTAAGTAGTAATCTTTAACTGCATTTGGCTCGGTACTAAAGCCATACCAACAGACGCCTTCCTGAGAAACTACCCCTGGCCCAGTTATTAATACAATGGTACAAAGTACTGACTAGGAAAGAGAGGAAGAAGGGAAATAAAACAGAAATACAGAAAACGAAATTGGAGGGGAGAGAGAGAGAGAAAGAACAACAAAAGTGAGAGAGAGGAGAATAAAAAACCTCTACATAAGAAGCATTTAAAATAAATCTGGCTGAAACATATTACAAAATCACATTTGTGTAAAATACACGAAAATACTTGTCAAGTATTTTCTTACAATCTACTAATTTTTTTTAAACACATATTTGTGATTGCATTATGCAAAAGCTGAGCTTGTTGCTTCCCACCTACAAAGCTTCAAGTTTCTTTGAAGGTTTTTTTTTTGTTCGTTTTTTTTTTTAATACGAAAGTAATTTAAAATGTGTTCATTTTCCACAAGTTATTTTACAAAAATAGTTTTGAATTAGGGATTAGTTGCAGTCCTAACTGTTTCAAACGTCTCAAAACTAATGCTGAAAGTAACAAGTTCATTCCATTTAAAGTCTGGAGGTAGGTCTTTGTCAATCAATTAGTCCATTTTTTTAAAACAATTCATTTGAGGTACAAACTTGGACAGTAATATTTAAACATTACAGCTAATTTTTTTCTATGTCATGTAGTGTCATTGAAGAAAATTATCCTCACAAACCTATCAGCAATTCAGTACAAAAATATATTCAAGTTAACAGTACATTACACAGAAGTCTAGCAGAGAATAGGGTAAGTACATAAAAAAAAAAAACAAAAACAAACCAAGAGAAAGAAAAATACATAGTCATGCTGAAACACAATAAAGATATTGCTTCCTTAACTGCAATTAAGTGTTGAAGTAGAAACAAGGGGAAAATGCAGATACTCATGATTATCTACCCAGTAAAAATTTCCTGCATTTAATGTGTATAGCAGCATGTATTTATCAGTCTGTTGAGTTAATTGTAAAAATCAGAGGTAGTATTGAATAGTGGGGTAATATTGCATCTGGTGCTAAAAGTGCTGCTTTGAATGAAAAGATGGAGAAATGCCACTGGCGCAGAGGTGCTCAGTGAACCATCCTATGTCAAAATACATTGCTTAAAGTAATGCACGAGCTTAGCTGAGGTACGTGGTGTTGGTTCTTACATCATGACTGATGAGTAATGAGGAGAGATTCAATTCTTCTGAAATACTGGTACAGGACGAGTGGAATTAGTCAAAACTAAGCAAAACATACGGATTATTTTTGTTCAGATAAATTCACGATTATTTTTGAGGTACCTTTCTGTATGTTTTAAAAGATTTTTCTTGATAAAGACTTAGTCATTAATGGCATAAGAGTGTTTGGTGTCAGTCAGTTTTGCTTCCATAGAAAACGCCTGGCTCTACAGAAAGCCAACTCCGTCTGGCTTCCTATCGTCCAGCAGATGAGGGCTATTCATTTTGTTTACTACTGCTTCTGCTGATATGTTTGTATCTATAACTATACAACGTATCTTTGTCTTTCTTCCCTTTTGCAAAATGAAAGTACCTTTTTCGTGTTGATTTCTTTCTTCCGATTACTAGCTGAATGAAGTGAAAGATCAGCTTTCAGTTTTTTTCCTGAAATAACAGCAAGTCTTAAAAAAAAAAAAAATCAAGTACAAGTCTACAAGAAGGTTACAAAAAAAAAAGAGTAGTATCTATCCCTTATCTTTGGTGTTCTAAAACAGGGAGTTCACTAAGTAGGGAGTGGGTTGCTGGAAGTGTTGCAAGGCTTTAGTGTTACACACCTAGCCTTTCCTATTTCAATGCCCATTATAATGACTATGTTACAAGTTTCTTGGTTATATGCAGTGCAGTGAATGACATAAACCTGATTCGGAGCTCTTCTTGACCCATTCACCCTTACTTAGCAGCTCAAACAAACTATTAGTAGGTTAAGAAAAAAGAAAACAGTAATTAAAAGTTGCATCGTTAATCTGTGTCCCCTTTGTGTTACAGCAGTTTTTCACTAAACCTGGGACTGTGAAGGGATTACAAAGATGATTAGTCAAATCCTTTTTAAGGTTATGCGATTTTTTTTCCCCCCAGGCAAAAGTGGAAAGACCATGGCAATAGAAAATAAGTGGTCAAGGCAGTGTCTTCTCCCTTCAAAAGACCCAACTGCTGATGAGGTAGAAATTGCATGGTGCGGCCTCCTAGTCTTCCTCTGCAGATTCTTGTGAGGACGTTTCTTCAGTCTCTTCCTAGAATACACAAACAGAAAAAATAAATACTGTGGCGACCGTGCATCTTAGCCTGCCACCTCACTCTTCTCTCAGGAAGCTGACAATTACCTCCTGAGCTACCAAAAATGCCCTTTACAGCTGCTGTGACATCTCAAGAAGCCACCTTGGGGAGGAGGAGAAGGTCTCCTGCTCTCCAGTCACCCCACTTTGGTTTTCCAGGCCTTCCTCCTACCCCAGCGGGTGCCACGAAAAAGTAATTTGTCATGGCCCTCTTATGGCCGGCAGACACGGGCCACTATGGAAAGCATTTTGAGCAGGTATCCAATGTTAAGCAGGTGCTCTGGGAAGCTTTCTCCTCATCGGCTGTCCTCCTCCGTCCTACCGCTGCCTTCATGTCCGACTTCAGCAAGCCTGCCCGAATGCGATGCTCTTCCACTGCTTATTTAACAAAATGCGCAGTATCTTTCAGGACATGGGCAGTAAACCGGGGGCAATAAAAATTTCTGATAGAAGGGGCTGTCAGTGAAAAGTTGTTTTTTATCAAATGCTGCACATCATCGCCTGAGGCAGCACGTGAAAAAGATCTAGGAAGAACAGGAATGTACCCCCTCAGCCAACTGAGACCTTTTAAGAATGACCAGCTTAAAACAGCTTATAACAGTCTTCATACTTTAATAGATTTGATTTTCCACATGGCTTCATTTTGTCTGGGTGGCTAACTGACACAATTTATAACTCTCTTCCTTTCCCAGGCCACTACAGTACACCATTCAGCAAAGCATGCCTTAAAGCTTGCCTGCGTTATATGACCAAACTTCCATTCATTAGTGTTTGAAACACCTCAGCTGTGAAGGGCTCCTAAATGCTACCATGTGTGACACTGCTGCGGAGGAGCGGCATCAAGGAAAAACACTGGGCTTTAATCACAGGCCACTGCTCACTGCAATCCCCTTTCAAAAGGTTTCAACCTCCCCCCCCACCTCCCCGCAAGAAAAGGCTGAAAAAAAGCGCTGTAAATCCAGGAAATAAACATAAGTATAAATGAATGGATGACAGCTTAAAAAATATAACCATAGCAGCATCAAGCCATGAGATTTCACACTGGTTTTGTTTAGTCTGCTTTGGGTTATGTGGGAAATGTGAAAAGCATGAAGCAAATGCTCTGCCCCACCCCCCC